CACAGCGCGTCTCGACGCGCGAACTTTGGAGATAGGAGAAGAAGACGATAAAGAGAAGGAGAAGGAGAGAACAGGGGAGAGGTAGACGGGGGTGATTAGAGGAAGTGATCTATGTCGGGATTGAGAGGGGGCGGAATAGGCGGAAGAAAAGCGGCCATCGTCGAGGGAGTCGTCGGCGCATCTTCCTCCTGGAAGTGGTGCTGCACGAACGAGGGATAGAGATAAGCCCCCGGCACATGAGACAGGACACGTGGCGCCAGATCCGACTCCGCCCGCACCACCCGCTTGCGCACCGATCGGGGCCCTGGACCCGTCATCACCACATGAGTCTCGGTGTAAGGCCGCCGCTCCCGCTTCTGCGCCGCGAAGACAAGGAAGTGGTACATCGCATTCGGACGCTGCCCGGTCTCGTAGATGAGCGTCCCAGCCAATCGCGCCGCAATACACCCTTGAAAAGGGGGTGTCATATATGGCTCCCATGCCGGATCAGGGCGCGGCGCCCCCGTGATGGCCTCGAGCCTGATGGTGGCGGGCTCCACCATGAAGTCCACCTCTGTCGGATGGACCGTCCGGCTTGGAGGAACTACTAATGTCAATGACCGGGGCACCCCGGGGTGGCTGGCGGGAACGGAGAGGTCCCGCGAGGATGGGGGTTTGGATATGGGATCCGGAAATCCCATTCGGCTTCCTCCTCCGGCTGCTGCTGCTGATGATGGCCCGGCTCCATCAAGATTGAGATCGGGCACCCGCGGAAAGGGCGGCGATGGCACTACAGTCTCCTTAACGAGCGTCGCCGCACTCCCAGGCACGGGGTCAAGATTCCGCGTACGCGAGGGCTGAATCACCTCCTCGCCGCCGCCGATCGTGCTGCCTTGCGCTCCTGGCGACGGGTGGCGTCTCTTCCTCTTCGGCGTCTTCTTGGGGGCCTTCGGTGGCGCCGGTCGAGGATACGACGAGGGAGGCCGCAACGGCTTTTCCTCCGGGAAGTCCTCCAACCTCTCCGCGCGCTGCGCAATGTAATCCCGGATGACGACCGCGTTGTACGTTCTCCGCGGGGCCATCGCCGTCCGCAATCGTGGTTGGATCTCCTCCTCCTCGCTCGCGATCACTTGCGCAATGGAGAGGAGCTCAAGATGTATGAGCTCCAACAATCCCGGATCGATCGTCTGGAGCTGGGCGAATGGGTACAGCGCCACCGTCCCTTCCTTCTCCGCTGGCTTGGGCCGTGTGATGATGTAGTAGACGACGAAGTGTTCCCCGATGTAGTGGTCTTCGTGATCCACGAAGAACCGGAACATCCCCTGCGCCACCGACTTGTACAGCGCACAGTGCAACTCCCACGCGTCTTCGTCGGCGAAGGGCAGCGGCTCCACGTCAGTGAGCTCCACCAAATAATCCGAGAACTCGCGCATGGGATAAGGGCCCTCCGTGAGCTGATAGGGGAGGGTGGTGTAAGAGTAGAAGGGAGGCATTTAGTACGGGACAGGGGGAATAGCTTGGAAGTTGAGAGGAGCAGCGGGAGGAAGAAGCGCGGGGAGCTGTAGCACTAACGCAATTGGTCCGTCCTCTGCCCTGAGCAGCACTTCGTGGGCTGTGAATCGGTGTCCCCCCCGTCCTTGCAATCTGGCCACTGATCTGGCCGCTTCCACCGCGTATTCGCGCACAAAGCTTCGCGCCGGCTCCCGATTTGGCTGCGGTAGGATCGTCAAGTCTCCGATAAAGGTGGCGATGCTGTGCACGAAGTTGGGTGCCACCTGGAGCGCGCGGAACTCAATGAATACTCGAATCGTCTCTAGGCCAGGCAACTGCGTCACGTCCACGTACACCCCCGCATACGTCAGCCGATCGCAAAGCAACGAGTACGCCGCCAAATCAGCAACTCCGGGCGCTGGCACGTTCACCTGCTGAATGTCGTACCGCAACTGCCTTTCCTCATTGAACCGATGCCGCAACAAGCGATCTGCAAGCGGCGTCTGGAAATGCTCGAGGGGCTCATGATCCGGCTGGCGATGGTTCATCCTGCTCCCTGAAACTCTCCGCACCAATGGACGAGGCAGATCGGGAAGAGGAGGATGAAGAAGGAGAGGGTGATCTCGCAGGAGCGGGAGTCCGTAGGGGACCTAGCGATGGCTGGAAGGGCCGGAGCGCGGCACCGTGCAGTGTCAGCGGTCGGGCCTGGGAGTTGTGACGGGGAATCAGCTTCACGGAGTGCTGTCCCTGTGCGCCAACTTCCTTGACCTCGTAAATGCCTGTGTAGCGCGGGTGGATCTTGGAGGAGCGCGCAGATTTCCGTACCTGCACCAAGTCCCCAACTTTATAGCGGGGCAGTGGTCCCACCGACGCGTGTCGATTCTCGTAATCACGGATCTGCCGTTGATGTGTCCGATCTACGGCCTGCTGTCGACGGCGAGCTAACGGGGGATAGGCCCTAGCCATTAAGTCAATGTAGTGGCGGGCCTTATCTCGGTTCTGGGCCCGCGTTGCTCTAACTTTCGTACCTACTAA